CTTTATTGAAGATTTCCACTTTTGAGATTAAGCTTTAAACCTTTCTGAAATTCTGAATGTTCAAGCTTTGGTCTTTGTTTTCATTATTATTTTAGAGGGCCTCTCCTTATTCAGCTGTCTTACTTGCTCAGTATAAACTTTGTTTGTACATTGAGAAACTAAAAAGAGCAAAATTGTCCATGTTTGCTCTAACATGATTTCTGTATTCTTCACGTTCTTACCCTGTTGGAGCCATTGAGCCATAGGCTGGTGTGAATAGATTGTGCAGTACATCTTTTATAACACAGTCTCATTTTTTTGGTCTCTTAGAAGTTTGGTATTTCTTTTTGCCCTCCTGTTTTTCTTAGTGACTGTTTGAGTGCAGATTTATGCTAGAGAATGGAGACCATGCAGGAACCCCTAAATTTGTCACCCCATTTTAACAGCCAAACTGAACAGTTGCTTGGTTGAGGTGAGATTTATAACACTGAGTTGTTTTAAGAAGAATAGCGTAAGATTTTTAGCAAGGCCTCACTAAGAGAAACTGTTTCAACTGTCTGCCCCAAACCCTTCTAGTACCGGGTCATGGTTTGCTGTTTTTTCTCTGTGGGTTTTAAGTCATGTGGTGACACTGCCAAATATTGACAGGCTCATAGCAAACTTTGCTGCCTGCTGAGAGACTAGGGGGGGTGTTGTGGTTTGAGCCCAGAGGGCAACTGAGCACCACACAGCTGTTCACTCACCCCTCCTGCTCTCACTAATGGGAAGAATTAAAATTAAGTAAAATGTCTCAGGGGTACTCACCTATTATGGTCACAGGTAGAAAAATGAACTTGATGGGGGAAGGAAAGAAAACATCACTTTAATTCAAATGCTAACAAAACCAGTGCTTAACAGAAAAGGTGGGACAGTGAGAAGCACCAACCACGTCCAAAAACACCTTCTCCCCATGCCCTCCTTTTTCTGGGCTCAGCTCTGCTCCTGATCTCTCTACCTCCTCCCCCAGTGGCACAGGGGCAGGGGATGGGGGTTACAGTCAGTTCACCGCTCCTTCCTTCTTGGGAGGCAGGGTGGAATGCTCCCCTCTCACTGGAGACAGTACTCCACGAACCTTCTCTGGCATGAGCCTTCCCCACAGGAGGCAGCCATTCCCATGCTGATCTGGCATGGGTCACCCCTGTGTGTTGCAGTTCTCCCAGTGCTGAACTCCCAACAGCGGGAGCAACTTCTCTTCTTGGGCTCCTGGTTTCTTTTAAATGTAGACACCTGTCCTGGCGTGGGCTTCTCCATAGGCTTCAGGTTGGCCTCTGCTCCACTGTGGACCTCCATGGGTGGCAGGGGGGGTGGTCCTGCCATCTCACCATGTGATACAGGGGCTCTCTGCTCTAGTGCACCTCCCCTGCTTCCTCCTCCTTCCTTCCACTGACCTGAGTGTTCGTCCTTCTCCCAACTCCTCCTCACAAGTCCCAACCCCCTCTCAGGTTCCCCTTCTGAAATACGTTCTCTCAGAGGCGCAGCCACTGTCACTAGTTGGCTCTGTCCTGGCCAGAGGTGGGTGCTGGAGCTTTTGAGGAGCTTCTCACAGGGGCGCTGCTGTAGCCCTTTAAATCTGTGCCACAGAAACCCAGCACAGGGGGCAGTGTCACCCTTCTGGCATAAACTGTGTTTGCATTGTGTAGGTTACAATCATCATATACCTGTCTATTTTGGGCCTACTTCTTCTGTACATGGTGTACCTTACACTGGTGGAACCTATACTGAAGAGACGCCTGTTTGGACATTCACAGCTCATACAAAGTGATGAAGACGTTGGGGTGAGTTCACCGGAGTTCTTGTGTACTTGGGTTAACATGAAGTAGCAGCTGGATTGGTGGCACAGTGTCAGTGTTGAACCATGCAAACTGATAAAGCAATTCTGAAGTCTCAGCATCAACATACTTTCTATATTGAGCCCCCAAGCAGCAATGCTTTTACTGATAAAATATGCTTCAGGTGTGGCATAACCTTAGAAAGAATTTCGGAAACCAAACCCAGATTATGAAATGGGGGAATTGCTGTCTAACACCTTACCTGTGCTTGTGGAGTCACTAGTGCTTGTATCTGCAGTAGTACTCAGAACAAAAAGCACTTCAGGTCCTTGCTTAGTTCGTGTTGCTCCTTTTCCATTTATCCGCCTTCTGTGATAGTGAGTATGAAATAATTTAAGGTCCCTTACAGCTTATCCCCATCTTTGCCTTCCCTCTTGCAAGTTCTTGAGGTATTGGTCCTTGTCACACTTTGGAAATACCATGTGCATCAATTCTGTTGCTGAATTTCAAGCTATTGTGTTTGTTCTTTCTCATGGCCCATTGATGGCAGTGACAACTGATGAATGTAAGCCCCTAAGATCTCTTTCTTCTCAAATTCTTTTTTCCCCTGGTTGTCTACATTAAAACTGACAGTAGCTAGCCTTTGAGGTGAGATTACTGTTTATCAGGAAAGCCAGTACCATTTAGCTTGTCCTGTGCCTCCCCTTTCACCATATATGTTATGGTAGAAATGTGTTGCTATTGTGTATTTGTTTGTCTGTGAATGAAGTGATTTGTTACCTGTGAACTTCTCATTTTAGGTATATCCCAACTGCATGATTTTTTTATGGTGAGATTATAGCTCTTTGGGTCAGGGATTGTCTCTTGTTCTCTATTAGCATATTTCTTAGCCCAGTGAGGCTCGTGTGTTGCTTTGGGACTTGTAGGCATCACTTCAATGGGTATCATTAATGATAATCTTTGTACTACTAAGAATTATCATTGAACTACTCTACACAATCATGTCACAAAGTATCCATTGATGTAAAGGTCTTAAAGTGTTCTGGAGGGGGAGAGGAGTATGAAGTGTAGACATACAAAAAAGGCAGTTATTTAATACAGAACATAATTACATTATTTTTCATTATTTATTGTATATGTGATGCTTTTGGACATAGCTTCAGCAACATGACTTTGTCCAAAACAGTTTAATAGCCAAATAGAAAGTTCAGTTCTAACTCTTACTGTTTATAACTTGTTTTTATTTACCAGAAGAAAATAAAGCCTTGCAGATACTGTTAGGAAACAGAGTAAATACTAAACAAGCACTCAGTTATTATTAGGCTCTGCCACTTAAACAGCTGTATTGACACTTTGCTTTTAGACAGCTCAGTACAATAGGTTTAGTTTGGCAAACATCAGATTGTGTTGGGTTTATACAGAAGCTGTGTGTGAACATCCTGAACTGCCTGATGGCTGTGAGCTGGCAGTGAACTGACTCTTTCATTCAGTTTTAAAGTGAAGTGCATTCCTGACCATAACAGGAGGCTTCCAGCACCCCCTCTCTGTTCTAGGCTTCTGTCCCACCAGCTGCTAATGGATGCAAGACTGTGGTTCTGATCTTGCAGCTCAGCATGTCGTCTCTGGGCAGTAGAGAATGGTTTAACACTACAGTGAAGTTTGGTCTATTTGGGGAACCTGTGAAAGTTACTTTGAATGAGAAACTGAAGAACAGTTCTAACTATTCAAAAACTTGCTTGGTCATTATTACTGACCAGCTCATTGAAACAGCTTGTTTACTTTAAAAAACAAAACAAAACAAAAACAAACAAACAAAAAAAACAACAAAAAAAACCAACCAAAAAAACCAAAACCACATCCTTTGGAATGTAACAACAAAAAAGACTAATGTAATTGCTTGGTGGAATTATTGAGATCTAACTAATGATTTTTGGCATTCCAGGATCACCAGCCTTTTGCAAATGCACATGATGTGCTGGCTCGTTCTCGGAGCCGAGCCAATGTATTGAACAAAGTGGAGTATGCGCAGCAGCGTTGGAAGTTACAGGTGCAAGAGCAACGCAAATCTGTCTTTGACCGTCATGTTGTGCTGAGTTAATTGTGTCTCAGTAAAATAACTCCAGGGAAGTAAAGTGGACTGATTGAAAGAGCTGACTTATGTCTTCCTGATTCTGCCAATTCAGAAGGGTTTTCTTGAATGGTTCGTTAATGATTTACAAAAAAATAAAAAAGTATTTCCATTTTGAAGGAATGTACTGGAGTGGAAGCAATTTAAAAAGATAGGTTAACCAAAAGCTAAAATCATTACATTTTCAAATGAATTTTACTAACAAAACTGAAAAGAAAACAAACCCTAAGATATCTTGGGTTGCCACTGTGGTACCTTATTTACAGTTGTGACTTTATGGTGATTTTTAACTATATATTTCTCTCTACTATTTATGTGGTTAAAAAGTACCTGAGAACACAGTAATGACTTACAAAACTCACTAATCACTTTATGTAAAGACGTTTTGTAAATATACTTGGATTTTCTGCTGATTAATGCGAAGTACTGGAAATCTAAATCTTGCAGTGTAGTTTTCATACCAGAGAGTAAAATCCTGATTGGCTGTATTCATCATTTGGTTTCTTGCACTCGTACTTTCAAGATGCTTGTTTGTCAAGTGATGTTTGCAGGTTTAAGGCAAAACTTAAATGGACACTGACTCTTTGAGCTGCATACTTAAAGTACTGTGATGTAGATAAACTCCAATGCAGTGCATATCAAGACAGTGTTGGCATTTTGTTCTATTTTGCTTTAATAGCTTAATATATTGTATGTGTATGATATATCTTAAAGAAAATCTTTTCCCTTTCTTTTCATGAGTAAAGTCTCAGGAGTTAGTATATGATGAAATATTTATTATAAAAATCTTCCTGTATTTGTCTGGATTGATGGTAAGGCACATACTTTCTCTAGCACCTGTCATCTTGGGAGTTAGGTGTATTTTTTTATCTGTGATTCTGTACTCATCTCTCTTAAGAAGTATACAGTTGCTAGATGACTAACTTTCATATATCCCCTTTGGAATGTAACAATTAAAGATAAAACTGATTTTTGAAAAACCGATTTGCATTATCTGTATATCATCATTTTTCTTCCTCATTACCCTGTATGTCAATTCCATCTATAAAAGCACTTCTCTGAAAATGCTTCAGATAAGAAATATGCACTTGTTCAGAGCTTAGATAAAGAAGAGAAAGGCTCACCAAATTGCTAATTGAAAAAAGTTTTTAATCTCTGACTCAAATTTAACAGTGAATATGTAATTACATTATTGTTTTATACAGTTTTCAGTTTCAGTGTGGAAGGAAATGGTAGATGGAACAGTACCATATGTTGCTGGGTGCAGTTCTGGCTGGTTTAGCCCACAGTCGCGGGGACAGGGTAGCATGGGAAATAAACTGTACCCCTGCAGAGCTCTGTCTCATCAGGGCTGGAAATGTAGTTGCCCCATAATAACATTTGCACTGACTGCAACTTTTTTGCAGATACAGATCTTTGTTCTCTTGTCAGTCCTGTAGTCTTCCAAAAACAGTTAATGTGGAGGGAATTATAATGGGTGGCCAACTGGGGGAGACACAGGATTCCTTCTTTAAATAAATAAATAATTTAAAAGGCATAAGGTGGATTGACAGGGAGAAAACAAAAATAATAAATTCAGACTTGGGCTCAGTTACTGTGTTCATCCCACCCTGTTGAGTCAATAGCTGGTGATGAGTGATGTACCTAGGGTCACCTAAAGAAAAATAATGTAACCTGTTTGTTGAATACATGCCTGTCTACCAGTTCTAGTAGATGTTCTAGCTCTTGGCTGCCATCCTGATGAGGCCTGGAGCTGGTGTGGGAAGGAGGATGCAGAATACATCTTGTTGCCCCACGCAAAGGCAGCAGAAGCAGAATGCTTTCTTTGATGGCTGACGGTCCCAAGACGACAAGACTGGGTGTATGCAGCTCCCTTGGTAGCAGCTCAAGTGTTTCTAATCTTACAGTGTCTTCTTAGGGTTTTAAGCTCAACTGGTTTGGTTTTGGATTTTTTTTTTTGTGTGATTTTACTTTGATCGATACAAGGGCCGAATAGTAAGATAGTCTAAACTGTCAAGGTAATCCTGTAAAATGTGGGAGTTTTGAAGTTAGGTGTCCTGTTTCCTTGCACCTGTACAATTTGACAGCTATATACTGATATATGTAACATCTATATACCTATGTATATTTGATTGTACAGACTGATTGCTTGATACTGTGTTTCTAAGTTTAACTTAAAGTTTAAAATGTTTGTCTTGCTACCGACTGCTCACTGTTTTCAAATCTCGTCTTGCTTACCCCCATAAATGCTTTATTAGTAGACCTTTTATATAGTGTTATGTTCCTTAACGCTAAGGGAATTTCCAAAAATTACAGGAATAATGAAGATTAAATTTGAAGGTATTAAGCTAACTAATGTGTGTCCTTGCCTCTAACCTGGAGGCAAGTCCATCACAAGTTTCTTCTAAATAAATGCTGATTTTCTGTGTTTAAAATGAAGCTATGAAAACTAGTTTTCTTATGTCTTAATGGTAAATATTTAACTAAATTCTAGCTGATTGTTATATTTAGACATTAAAGTACAAAATGAAAATACTGCTTTAGTAGCCTGTGACAGAATACATGCAGGAAGTAAACAAAGCACATTCATGATTACTTTTTCAGGTAGTCTGGTTGTGTCCAATACAGTTTTAAAATTTCTAGCCCTTAGTGCCAAGTTTTGTTGCCATCATAGCTGTGGTGTGGGTGGAAAAGCCAAACTAGAAATGAGCAGATCTAACTGTAAGCTACTTTGCATGTTGTCAATTAACTATAAATTGCAGCAGTCACTGACTCAGTGGAACAAGCTACGTAATTCAGGTAAGAGTTGTATACTGCTGTGTCTAGTAACAGATCTTCACTGAATATCAATGTTTTTGTAAACCACTTCTACCAGCTATTCAGTAATGGTGCTTCTGCAGCTTTTTAATTAACTGTGTTTAGTATGATCTCTTATTAAATAAGGCATAAGAAAAATGGAACATTAACTTTTTTTTTAATATCATTCAGATATTTTTAGGTATTATTCATCAGTCTTAAAATAGTACATCTTGTTTCCTTGGATTTTACTTTCATCTGAAGATTGGTGAGTCTCTAGTCTAGAAGGAAAACGATCCTAACCCTTGCATTTTGCGCTTCATGCAGATAGTAAGGCAGCAGATAACTGTTTTTATATGTAATGTTGTTATGCAGCAGAAGTGTTAGTACTAAGCAATAAATACTGCAAGTATCTCTTCTCAAGGAGTTATGTCAGTTTTGGTTTCTTGCTCTATAGTAATGTTTTGCTGTAAAGGTTTTTTTTTTTTTTCTACGTAACAGACATTTTTTCTTTAGACCATGTTTTTAAGTTATTAACAGTACGAAGTTTTTAGACAATAACTCAACCTGTGTAAGTAGAAAAGATGACTGTCTACTATTTTAATTTTATAACAAGTGTATATATTCACCTCTGACTTTCTGCATGTATATTAATGTAAAATGGATGTCTCTTCATGCTTTCAGCCTACCTACAGAAGTACCTGTTTAAGCTGCATGTGACTTTCTTGTCTAACAGCATAAATAATATATAAATGAATTCTTAACTCATAGGATTTCTGTTGTGAGATCTATGTGCATTAGAAAAAGAGACAAGACTAAATACAGAGGCGTTTTGACAGAATATGTTGTGAGGATAGGTCCATACTGAGTAAAACTTCTCTTCATACTGGGCAGGTATGAAGTAGTTAGCAAATGTTAAAGTATCCCCATATCCTTGTGAAGGATTAAGGGGATCCCATTTACGTTATGGAACCATGGTTGGAACGTTTGAAGCTTTGCAAGGTTTTTCTGAGTATGGAATCTAGATATTTCTAGTAATGTAGTTTAATGGTCAGGTGTGTTTTCCATTGTAGGTGGTGTAACATAACCTAAGTGTTTTAGGCAGCAGTGTATAGATGTGGAAGTAGATGGTGAGTATAAGAGCATTTTTGGATTGATTCTGCGTAGGCGAGTATTGCTTGCAATCTGTGAGCCTGGATCGCAGTAATTCTTTGGAAGTTAACTAGTTATTTAAGTAGCTATTGGGTAACAATCATTATGGTTATGCTGTTATTTAGCTGTTTGAGTAATGATATTAGGAAGGCACTATAATGTAGCTTCCTATAAAACACTACAAGATTATATTTCTGATAAGTATATAAGGGTGACTTGGGTAGTTATGCCTGCTGTAATGCTTCACTGAAGAGAGGGTATATGGTTTTAGTTGGCCAGTCTGAGCTACAGGTTTCTAGCAGAGCCCCAACGACTGTGTGCAGCCCCTTCATAGTAAAATAATTTATAATTGGAACAATATTATTAGGACATGCATTTTTTCCTTTAATCAATCAATTATTTCACAATTCTCTATCAGTATGATTATATTTAATATTTCATGTCTGTTTAATCTGCAGGTGAGTGCAGAAGGAGCATGAGGAGATGTTAGGTTTAGCAGAAATTCATCCTCTAAACATTTTGTAAGCCTTTTTATGTAGAATCGATGCAATACCTGACAGACAGAAAATTGAGATCCATTCCCTGCACTTTCCATCTAGTTAAGATAGTACAGTGAATGAGACATCAAGTGAATAGGGAGAAAAAATAAATTGTCTTTGAAGGCTTTTTGATATGGATAGGGAGTCTGTTACTGGAATTGTAGATTTAATTTTTTCTCAAGGTGGAGAAGGGGGTAGAGAGAATGCCTCAGATGTTGGCCTGCTTGTTTTGGTGCATTTGGAGCAAGCTAGACCTGTGTGGAGTACATAAAGGTAGATTCTCTTCACTTCTAAAAATGAGTTGAAAGGCAACTGTTTACCATTTCCTTTAGGAAGCTTTAGTGGATTTACTTTCTTAAAATCTGCTGTGAATTATTTTAATCAGTGTTGCTGACTTGTACTTTCTTGTATTTTCAAATGGAACATTGGTGTTGGAAGATCATTACATAGAGCAGACATTCTGAAATGTCATGAATGCATTAAAAGTCTCTTCTGGAAAATGCCAGAAATGCCAAGTGTTCGTAAGTCCAGGTGAGTTTTTTCTATTGTTTGGTTTGAAGTATTTAAACTATTATGTAATTGTGCATTTCCAGGTTAAATGCAGAACCCCGTGGATGGCAAAAGCTACCGTAACCTCATGGACAGGTTGTCCATCGGTACTGAGACTCAGCACATACAGCTGGCAAGGCCTTTCTGTGCCAACCCAGGGGTCACGTTTCACTTGTACCCAGAAACACCAAACCTGGTCACTTGCTCTGAAGATTTGTCCTTCCTTCCTTTCATGCCTGAGCATCTCATCGCGGAGAACTTCTACAGTGAGCCCTGCACCTTTCCCTACCAAATGCCTCATTCCAATTACTGTAGAAGCGAGTGCTCCTACGGGCCAGCTTTCATCAGAAAGAGGAATGAGAGGGAAAGACAGAGGGTTAAATGTGTCAATGAAGGCTATGCTAAACTGAGGCATCACCTACCTAAGGAATACTTGGAGAAACGGCTCAGCAAGGTAGAGACGCTCCGTGCTGCAATAAAATACATTAGCTACCTACAGTCTGTTCTGTACAGTGATTCTGTGGTGCCAGAAAAAAATGCTGTGGAACCAAGCCAAGCACCTAAAGCAATTAACAAACAAAACCAGTTCTTGGAGACTATCTAAACCAAGCAAAAAATATCCTGTCTGGGAACCTAGCAGCCACTGTATTATTAATGGCGTGCATGTTCCCAGTACATCTTAGGCACAGATCATGGCACTCATCAGTATCAGCCCACAGAAGAGAGTTTTAATTTTGCAGATAGTAACTACACTTAGATACGAGAAATACAACTGGGAGATCTCATCTGAATGGCTTTAGTTAATTCATGGAAATTAGAAAACATTTCTAAAATTGTCACCAAATCAAAAATGTAATGCCTATATGTGTGAAGTAACTATGTATCATCATAACCTGCATGCTTTAAAATAAAATCTTTCCACTGATGGGACTGAGATTCCTCATTTTCTGTAATGTTTTACTGGTTTACTCACGTGTACTTTCTTAAAAGATTTTTGGTCTAATTGCCCGTGTTTCTCTTAAAAGGCCTTTTTAAAGATTCCCAGAAATGTTAGTTGTCAGCAGAAAGGATAACTTAGTTTATAAAGGGAAAGATAAAACAAGAAGGGTAGCAGCTCTCTGAAGTACCATTACTTAACATAGAAAGAGCATAACATCTTGCAAGTGCTGTTCTGTCCTTTTATTAACGAATATTTTAATCCCATTAAAAACTATTGATTTAGCCTAATTTCTATTGAAAATTGGATTCTTCTTCAGATGTCAGCACCCTTAAAAATTGCTAAGACTGCTCACACAATAAGCAGTAAAAAGAGGGTTGGCAAGGTTTTGGCCTTGTGGGGAGGAAAAAAGAGACCTTCCAACAGAAATTTTGGGGGACTTTGATAATGGCTGAGGTCTGGGCTGGTCCTCCCTCACCTCCCAGTCTGTTCCCACTGTACTATTGATAGTTTCAGCTAAGTGGGATAGGATAGATCTATGTGAAGACAGTGAAGAGAGTGTTCTTAACATTTGCTGAATCAATACAGCAAATGTTAAGAAACAATATCAGTAAACCAAGGGAATTGGTTTATTGATATTAAACAATTCTGCTGACAGGATGAGAGCAGGTAGGCTGTGGGTACAGCAGAATGTACAGAAAATGGTTACAGACTTAAGTGCTGTATCCTTGTCCTTGTTCCTAACTGCAGTCATCCCCCACTGTTACCTTGTTTCTGTAGCAGTGATTTGAAAAATGTCTAAAAAATGCAATTAAGAATTAAGAATTCCTTCCCTTGCCCCCTGCATCCCCCCCATACCCCCCCTAAAAAAAAAAAGAAAAAGCTAATATTTGTTAAGGAGAAAATGAAGATGAGGGATCACAGCAGAGATTAACAGGTAGATTTCTGTGTTGTAATCTGACATGGTTTTGATACGCACTTTGCAGGAAGAGGGTAGAATTAATTAATCTGTACCCTTTATGGTGAAAAGGAAAAGTTTGTAAAGTGATTTGACCGCAGATTGTGTCAGCTTCAACCCTTCTGTCCACATTTCAAACCAATTTATTCATCACAGCCTGTGGTGGTGGGCTTTGTGTTCCAAATCCGAACTATAGCTTTGTGTGATGCTATTTTTTTTTACCCTGCAACAGTAGGCAGAAAGCCTAGAGGACACTGCACCCTCTTATAACCCCTTCTCTGCCCCTGCAATCTTTCTGTACAATATCTAGACCAACGAGGGGTTGAAAATTGAGTGGATGCATGCCAGACAAATGGTCCTCTCTAGTGTCATGTTCCACCAGTTTTTAACCCGTAAGGTCAGGCTGTCTGACCCTGGGAGTAACAACTGTGGCAATCTCCGTAGCAACTAGGAAACACTGGCAGCAAATGCCTTCCTGCGTCAGACAGGCAAAAGGGCAAGATTTCTGCATAGGGACTAAATCCAAATTGACCAGATGCAGTGTTATCAATAGCTGGTAAGTTTGAAATGCTGCTCTGTCAAAGTACCTGGAGTCATCCAGAAAATAAATCTGTGTTGTGCAATTGCCTTTGTCTGTGCCCTGTTTTATACAGAAATAGGGGACCTGGCTCTCAGCAGTAACAACGTTGAATCGGTTTAAAATGACCTTTAATGCAGAATTGGTAGTTGCATTTCTTTGTAAAGTATTATTGATTCTATCTTGTTTTGGTTTATAATAGGGGAGTTTGTGTAGTGTTGAAACAAGTGAATATATTGTGTTGATTTGCTGACTTTAAGATGCATTTTGCAGCAGTTCATCCACTCTTCTTGCTGGGTTTGGTGTGCTACTTTTCTGAAATTGTATGTATCTGGGACTCCTCATAAAAAGCACTCCCAGATCATACCTCTTATCTAAGAGACAAAATAACATTTAAACATGAGTGCTTAAGCTGTATTTTGTAACATAAATTAGGCACATAAAATTTATGTTGTTGAATATCCATACAAATTTTACTCTAGGCATGCTAAATATTCCTAAGAAATACTTGAGAAAAAAAAAAGAGAAAAAAAAGAAAAATAAATGGAGAAGTAATGGAAGTCTGTCTATGTCTATGGCATCTTGTCAGATTACCAGAGATAGCATCACATCATCAATTTTACGGTGACAGCCTCTGAAGAGTTACCACTTGTCAAATCTGAGCACCTCATTCTTTCTTATGGCAAGCCATAATCCTACTGTTATAAAACATGACAGGACAGCTGAAAGATCAAAATATTTCCTCTTAATACATCACTATAAATAAAACAAGTAGCAGGCAACTGTAATCTAACATCACATTCAAAAACTGTCACATTTACTCAGCTTGTCAACTTCAGCTGTACTTTCTGCCTCAGCTTGTAAAATAGGAAAGGTTTGGCTGCGACTGTGTACAAGAAAGCTTTAAAGGAGAGTGCAGGTATAAGAGAAGAGCTGGATGTCGGAGAGGGAAATAAAAGCTGGAGGGATGTGAAAGCTAGTGCTTTCCTGGGGATTTTCACAGCATTTCTAGTTTTCTTGGGTGTTTCCGTCCCTCTAGCAGGTTGGGATTTGGGTGACTGAAAATCACTCAAGTCAGTGATGTGGGTTCATCTGACCAAATGCCGGTCTGCATGTTTTGATTAATTTTTTATGAAATAATTAATTACAACTACTGAGTTCTTGAGGTATACTGGAAAGCATTTGGTTTTGTTGGAAAATGCCAGTACGTTGTCTCTTTTCTACCAATAGATCGTGACCGAGTCCTGCAGGCACCTGCTTTTGCAGGAATGGCTCGTTCAGAAGGGTTCCAGCCTACGGCTCCCAGGTATTGCAGTGCGATGCTGACTCTGGATAAGTTCTCATGCTCCAGCATCGCACCTACTGCCAAGCCCTGCTGCGGAAGCTCTTTGGTAGTGCATCCTGCCTGGATTGCCGAGCCCCTTGCTCCCCAGAGGTAAAACTGAGTTCTTGTTTGAATCTGTGATTTGTTCTTTTTCATGATATCTAACAGGATAAAACAGGCTGGTGTGTCAGATTAATGAATGAGCAGCTTGATCATCATTTGAGCTTTTCCTTCCCTGCACTGGCAATTTTTTAGATTTTATTATCTAAAGTGATTTGCTACCCTGGAGATTATGAAAAGCAAAGCCTGAGTAAACCTATCAAAGAAACATTCCTTTAATATTATTTGATAAATAAAAGTATCTTGTATTAGCAGCCATCATCTGTGAAGTGTTTCTAATGCTTTGTGACAGGGGATTATTTTTCCTGTTTTGAACTTGATCCTGTTATCAACCAGCAGCTTCGTTGTTTACTTCTCTGTTGTTCCCTGAATGCCCTGATGCAAACCGTCAGCTATGGCGCTCTCAAGTGCACCTGCGCTGTGTTCTGTGCTGGAGACAGATCCTTTCTCCTGATCCTAAGGGTTGCATTGTCTTGCCATGTAAACAGCAAAGTGGGGCTAGTGCAGGTAATGCTGGCCCAGGATTCCAATGTAATCCTGTCTTGCTTCCTCTATACCGAAACCCAAAGAAAATCTGGGTAAAGACAGGCTCTGATGTGTTTGGTTTTGTTTTTTTTTTTTTTTTTCCCAAGAGCAAGGAATTGTCCCAGCACAATCAAGTTTTCTTTCTTCCCACATGTGTTGCACTATGGGAATGATACAAAATGAGGTGGAGTGATCCAGTTCTTACGTCTTAAGTCTTACAAGGTTTTGTTTTGTTTTGGTTTTTTTTTTTAATTATCTACAGAAGTTGTTTCTCCCAGTGCTCACCCTTTTTCTTTTCTACAAGGTGCCAATGGATTAGCCACTGTCTCCCCTCCCCTGGCCCAGCATGCAAGAGACTGAGCTCATCAGGGAGGTCAGTGGGCTTAGACAGCAACGTCCCTGTGCTGGTGAGAGGGGAACAAGATGGATTTTATTACCATGGTACGGTAAAAGAGGAGATAGAGGTGAGTGACGGTTGCTGTGTGGTAGTCGTGGGTATGTGTTACAGGGTGTCCGGTCCACCAGCAGCCCTAATGTACCACCTGAGTTTAGTGTAGCAGTTTTGATTTTGGCTGGTGCATGAATTAGAGAACAGATCACCAGGGCAGCTGACGCTTGTGGTTATGTCGATTCATAGAGCTCTTGATGTGCCTGATTCCAGGCTGTCCTCACCTCCTGCTGCCTGGCACACCAAGTGAGCCTCTTGCATGCAGCACCGCCTCAGGCACCAATAAACTAATAATGATCCTTGTTCTGCTCAGCCTCCTTTACCGAGTCTGTTTCTAGGAGTCAGCAGGCATGTGTCGAGGATCCTCATTTATGCAGAAGATGAGAAGATGTTCTCCCAGTTCCTGGTGAGAGCAGTGTTGTGCACCTTGCTAGAGCAGACCCTCTGATGCTGCTGGTGCTGGGCATTGAGCCAGGCTCAGGCAGCACGAGTGCTGTTGCAAGCTGTGTACTGGCTACTGTTGTTTGTAGACACATAACCATCAATAGCCCAGGAAAAGCGTTAGTGTTTTGTGTACACACTTCCAGCTTGAGTCAGCTACAGACCAATGGCTCAACATCTTTTCAGAAATGTTAGTGAAAGCTTTAATTCATTAGTTTGTTAGCACTTCAAACTTAACAGAAAAAAAGAGCCTATTCTTTCTCAAGAACAGGGAAGTACCTCATTTCATTGTTGATGGAAAGCCTCTTGACAGGCTTTAATTTAAAAGAAAACAAAAATTCTCAACAACCCCCCCCCACCGAGAAGCAGAGTTATTGTTGTATGTAATGAGGAAGGACTTGGGCATGCCTGAAGAACAGGTCTGAATGGCTTCAGTGTCCCTTGTTATCTGTGCACAGAGCGTGGTTTGTGAAATCCAGTTGCACTCTATCTATAGCTTTTTCTCTCGGGGAAGAAAATACAGGTCCTAGCAGCAGTAAATCTGTACATATGCTTTACTCAGCCTGCTTTCTGGTGAGAATCATGGAGGTTTTTCTGGCTGCCCCAATGCTGGGCTAACACTGCACACTATTTAGTTACTGTTCAAGCTTGTTTGGAGTTTTTGACCTAGCCACATAGCCACAGAATGCCCTCTTGGTAAAGGTTACATTATGGAGTATTTTTCAGAGGAACTATTATTTTATTCCTGGTAACAGAATGAAAGAGGCATGTTCCTGGTAGAGTTTGCCAAACCACTTGTGTCACATGGAAAGCATCCAGTGTGTGCGCAAAAAACAGCGCAGGATGACATTCTGGAATATGTGAACAGGATGAAGCACTCCCTACTCCCTGGAGACAAAGTGCTGGCACCCTGGGAGCCAGATATGGCCAGGTACGGCCCAGGGACTGTCCTCACAGGCATAGAGACGAGGGACCCCTTACGAGGTAAGAAAGATGCTGCCCTATTCTTCCTCGCGTTGCTCCGGAACATGAGTGAGAGCATCAGGATAGACTCTTATTGTGGTGCAACTGCCAGAGAAACACCAGTGCATAGACTACAGCTTAGCATTGTTTAAAGCTTTCAGGAACTGATGGGACTTGTTGATAGGTCTCTGCATGTAACCTCACCAGTCTGACTCCAAAGAAGTTGTGACCTATAAAACCATCATCTTCCGTGTCTGTGGATGCGCTATTTCCTGTCTGCTGAGGCAAGGCTGTATCTGCTATGTGAAGGGTGGTGGCCTTTTTGTGAGGGATACGAGTGATGCAGCTCTCAGGAAGCGCCCATCTGTGCTTGAATGCTCATGTTTGTACCGAATGGTTTTATCACCCAAATGTAGGAGGTTTCAACAACTCATTGATTTTTCCCATGTCTGACAGTCAAGCTCCACTGACTTACCAAAATACTATTCTCGGAGTATTCCTGCTACCTTTGGCAGTAACAACAGTTAGTCAACATTTTCTTGTTCATCTGATGACAAACTGGGAGGAAAGATGCTTCCAGGCCTGTTGTCACACCGACAGTGCCCTAGCTGCCCGCTCTACCCTCCATGACATTATGGTGAGGTGTTAAACAGGGAGGGGTGATAGTTCATCCTACCGCTTGACAGGAGTAGAAAGTGCATAAAGCTGCAAAGCCTGATGTGTGTATGTGCACTGCCCAGGCAGGCCAGCTGCTTAGTTATGGCTGCTTACCTTTTCTCAACAGCCTCAGAAGATGAAGAAATTACTGTCCAGTTCTGGAATGACAAGATGGTGAAACTCCCACGAGGTGTGGCTCTGTGGATCCCTCCTAGCCTGTGGGAGAGGATTGTAGAGATGATCCACATGCCCTTCACCAGCAGGGTGAAGCTCAGAGGAAGTCCGGACACTGACTGTTGTATTTTTTCCTGCAGTCCTAAACCAGCCCTGATTCCTGTTTGTGCTGTACATAGCCTAGCCAAGCACTGCTTGCTTTGCTCAGCCTGCTGGCCACATTTCCACTATCACTGTGATGGTGTATGCTGTTTGTCAGCATATGTAAGGTGCATCTGCTGCTGCCATCCCCATGTTAATGCCTGGTGGCCTCTTCCATCCAGGTCTCTGGTTTTCCAGAGTGAAACTGAAGAGGTGGAGTCCAGCACCGAGCACTCTCCATGCCTTCTAGAAGTGAAAGGCCCAAAAGAAGCAGCAGCAGCAGCTGTGGCAGCGTCTTCTCCCTCTTCTGATTCAGAGCAGGACCAGGAGCCATTCCCCACTGAGAGTACTGTGGTGGACAGTGCTGTTAACACAGGCTCTGGCCGTCCTGAGAAGCCCAGGCTAAAGGATTCTGCAGTAGTCGAGTGGAAATACTGGAAAAGAAGCCACCCCAAGTCCTATCCCAGTGATTCAGGTACCTTTTAACACCCACACAGAGAAGCAGCAGCCAGAGGGAAAAAAACCAAGCATGTTCTGGGCTCCTTTCATTGGGACAGTCACTTTGCCTGTAGTCTATTGGTATAGATACTATAAATTTGCATATCAGTCTCTTGATACAATATTTCCTCCTTCCCAACGTTTCTGCTGCTTCATTTTGCATTCTAGCCCTTTTTTTGGCAACTCATCCAATGGAAAACTACCAGAACAATGGATTTCATTTGAAAGCATAGATATCCCCCTCTGGGTTTGTTCCCCATAATTTTCCTATGCTTTTTATGGTGCTAACCTCTTCATTAACTGTTATAGCTAGTCCATGCAGAATAACATGAAAGAATTCCTTTCAGGCTTGAAGTGCATTTTCCTCTCTTCTGAAATGACTGTTTCCCCATTTCAGTTCTGGTTTCGCTGTTCCTCCTTCCCAGGTCTCGGGAGTCGCAGCAGCACACGTACAAAGGGCAGGCTGGAATCAACAGCCATCTCTGCTGGGGATGTGGCCAGTGTTGCCCCGACTAATCGGAGTGCAACATTTGAAACCATTGAGCAGTCTCCCAGAGGGCAACTCACAATGAAAGAAATCTTAAGAGACCAAGATTTCAAGCTGTCATCAAGGGTAAGGTAATCTGTATTAATACTGTATTTATGAAAGCATGTGGCTTGTCTGAATAGAAGAAATATTATTGCTAAGGGTCTGGAAGTTGGCTCAAAAAATACATTGTTTCTAACTAATTGCTTGCTACAGCCATCTAGGTTTTGTGTTAGACAGGAAACTTCACTAGTTAAAACAAAAATTCCAAAACCCTAAAGAGGGGCTGAAGCTACTTGGTAAAATGGAAGAGGCTAGTCTGGAGCTCCATGCAGACATGTTGTATGTTAGCAAGTGTCACAGCTGTGCCCTGAAGTGACATGCTTTGCCTTTGGATAAAACTAAAAGGAAACCAGAGCGGTTTCATTCTAGCCCCAAACTGCTAGCATGAATCACAGCAGTGGATGCAATGTGGTAATACAGAGTATAATGACTTACTTTCATTCCTGTAAAATAGCCCTTGGTGTTTTTAAACCCAGAAGATACATTGCTATTTCCTGAGATGGGTGAAGCAGTTTTATCATATAATACAAACTTCATCAGAAGTAACTTGCCACAAACAAGTGAGGCTAGAGACCAGGCTTTGCAGAGGTGCTGTCTGTGGGGCTAATGTCCTCCCACTGTAGTCACCAAAAATCCTCCTAACTTCTAAAGAAGCAAAGTTTTTGGTCAAAGCCTAACAGCTTCTGAAAATCCTCCGGTCTTACTATATACTTCTGTGTTTCAGCAGTAAAGTTTGTACTAGCACAGAAATGATTACCACTATTAAAGCTACATGGGGCAGAGGTACCAGTCTTACAGCCGGGAAAGCAGAAGTTAGAAAGGCACTGATGCTTCTTTTTTTTAAGACTAGACTTCCAAGGGATTTCTTTTCTCTCTTCCAGGAAGAAGGTTTTGCAGCAACAGAAAGGAAGAAAACAGAGTCAGATGATAAATGTAAAACGACTTGCATAGGAGATGATAAAGTTGATGATACAGACCATGTCAGAAGAGGACAGACAGAAAAAACAGCAAAGAGCTCACTTGCAACAAAGGAGAGAGACACATTATCAACCAGAATTTGATAAATGTGCAACTGATGAAGTTCAGGAGATGAAAGTTCAGGTAGACTGCTTATACTATATCAGTGTTACATTTATTAAGCAAATCAAGTTCTGATTTAGGTATCATCTCCCTAGAGTATCTTTATGGATACCTGTATAATTTTAATAACTGAGAAACTCTATTTCCACCCACATCAAATTTCAGCGTCCTCATTCTTTGCTCCAAGGTGTTGTATTAAATTCCTAATTATTTGGACTTGACTTTACAATTCTGGAGAGATCAGGTAAACTAGTATGAGCACTAAAAGCCTGAACAGATGCACAGCAAGGGTGTAATAAACCTCCAATTTGTCTACAGTTCTCTGGAGTCAGCCAAAGGAATTCAGCATAGCAATTTGGTTTTGTAGAAAGCCAGAAGGAATGGAGAAACAATACAAGCTGACAACTGAAAATACTTTTTTTCAGGATTAAAGATGAAAAGAAAGTAGGCAGAGGGTAAAGGACCTGCTGCTGTACATGCAAACAACACAATTCTTAGAGATCTAGCATTCTGGTTGCTGAATTTTATATTCTCATGAAAATTAACTGAAACATTAATGCCATCAGCTACAAAAAGATTAGAGATATATATAGGTCATGTCACTGATTCTAACTGTGGAATCTGATCTTTTGGGAGAGCTAAGCATCCAGGGAGTCTCGTTAGTGGGACTGCTCATGTTTAAAACATATGAACTTGGCCATAAGCTGCAGTGTGAAGTTCAGCAGTACTTCTCCCCTGCAGGAAATAGGAGATAATTCAGGGTAACCTACTGCCTACTGAAAAAGGCAGCTAGCTGGTGTTTACCCTAGGTAAGAGCCTACAAACAGACAGTACTTGAAGTGTCAATAGTTCATGTGCCTATACTGAATATATGCCACATATTCAAGCACCTTCATGAGCTGGTGTCCTAGATAGGGAATGTCATTTGCATTTTATTTCTTTATCAGAATAATAAAAGCACAGATAGGAAAGAGGCATTGTGAGTCAGCTGCTCTAAAATCAGTGCTAGCCCCCACAAGTTAATGTACATCCATATTCATACCACATGGATCATGCTTCCTGTGGTCAAGAATGACAAGGATGTTCTGTCTCATTATAATATAAAAGAAACTCATCACAAAGACTAATTATGTATTTTATTCCACTGATTATATCTTTAATTGTTTAAAGCATAAGAACTTGGAATTACAGTCACATAATTGGATCTAAGGCACACGATGTACAAATATTTATAAAATCAGTGTACAAAGAGGGCTGCATGTAATTACGTTAAGTAGAAAACAAATGTATAGGCCATAAAAATGGAGTCCCAAAGAGGAGGACACTATTAAAGTGCTAACAATAAAAAAATATACATAGTTCATTACATGCATTAGAACAGCCTCATATTTTATTCCTGTGATTGCCAAGAAACAACAAATGTCATAGAACAAAAGTTAAATTAATACTTTGTCCTGCATTGACATCTACCACATGGGTTTGTTGTACCATGTCCTCTGAGATTGCTGTGACAGAATAGGTGCCAGGAGAAACTTCAATGTAGATGTCTTCAGAAGCTTGTCTAGTCTTTAGCGGGGGGAAAACCCAAAAGTTTCATTACTGTTTAGTCATCTTAGTTTCCCACAAAAATAAACATTTTGAATTTGGGTAAAAAAAAAATACATTTCAGTTGCTCTATAAATGTACTAGGATTTTTCAAAGTATACAGGCAGCATGGACCAAACTGTAAAATGTTTCTGTCAATACAAAAATTAGCAAGTGCCTTACTTAAAGTATTTCATCTAATGTTTCTATCAGTGAAAATAATCAACATGCTGTAATCTCTGCTTCGCAAAAGTGAAAGTTACCAACCTAAATGGTTTTGAACATAAACCTGGAAAACATCCATACAGCAAGGGTGCTCCCACTAATTTGTACTGGGGTACAGATTCCATGTTTCTCATCTTTTGTGGCTTAGAAGTTCCCAAAATTGATTTGGTGAGGTGTTGGGCTTTGAAAAACAAAAAAAGTTTTCTTCTCCTTGAGGAACAGGAGTCTTCAGATAGACTGTATGAGGGCCAAGCATAACTGGCTAAGCAACTGCTCCGTGCCTTGCTGCATGCCTTTCCTCAGCACAGGGATTGTGTCAGGAGCACAAATGAGGTGAGACTGGAGAACTGCTGGATGATTACTGCTGATGCAATTCTCAAGAGCCTAAAGATTAATCACAGTGTTTGACATTCTGTACTGGTCTGAAATATAAAGTAGACTCTTAACTGGTTACATGCTAGAATGCCACAATCTGGTTTATAATTAATTGTGCAAGTCTCTGTATGCCCATTCTACTGTCCACCTATATATACATTAGGATTATGAATGCAATGCTGGTAAATCTTCTGTGCCATCACAAATTTTAACCAGCTTGATGCAAAATGATAAAGAAATGCTATTTCTCAATTTAAAACCAAAATATTCTATAAACTTACATGTTGCTGGCAAGTTTGAGCTTGACTGGGTGTTACAGAGACTTCAGTCCTCTGGAAAGGAAAATATACTGTTTTCTAATGATACAACACAAAAGGCAAATTCAGCCCTTGAGAGAGGGGATGCTTTACGTCCATGAAATTTTTCCCTCCACAAAAGGACTGATATGATACTGATTGGTGCCACCAGAAGTTACTCTGCCTTCCCCCCTGTCCACCACCCCACCCCACAACAGAAGGCTCAGATCAGTCCAAGTGTTCATATGCCCGTGACATCAAACCACATACACTAGTGGAAGCAAGTGTCCCAGACATTAGATGGATAACAACCATCCCATGGTGAGGGATGGAATAACCTTTAATCAAAACCACTTACCTCTTCTTCTTCTGAGGACTCCGGCTCTCTTTCCCCTACTTGCCTGCGATGGTATCTGCAGATGTGTTTGATTTCATGCTCTTTGCATCTAGAGGCTGCCATGAAGCTATAATACTTCTGGACAACAATAGAAACAGAAAATATTATGTGGAGAAGCATCAAAGCCGTGCTCACAACTACTGCAGATTTACAATTAAAAGTAGAACTGCACAGCTACTGATGTTATGTATTAATTGGCTGGTTTGTTCTTGTGTGAGGAAGAAAACAATGCCTGGATGTCCACAGGACATCTGCATTCTGGTACAAAACTGTCAGCCCTGATTTTAGATGACTGTCTCCTGACACAATATATAGGGACCCTCTGACACCTCAGAACTGAATTCATGAAAATATCAGAAGGAATGCTCTGGAAACATCTACCTGATCAGGCTCTGCAAGAAAAGCTTTGGTGGATGTATATGCGAGTGAGGTGCTTTGCAACCTAGCCAGTGAAGACTGGTTCTGCAGGGCATGTGCAGGAGCAGTGCTTTAGAAAGCAGAGCATGTTAATACTGAAACATTTTAAGAATTTTTCTTAAAATTTTCTTAAATGAAAGGTTTTAAGAATTGCATTTAAGTCCACAGCAGCCCTTTTCTAGCTCCACAGTAAAGGTACTTGAGTCTTCCCCACTGCAAATTAAATATGTGAGTACAGCTCTGCTGCCATCTGTTGTCACCAGAGGACTCCTCTTAGGGTTACCTTTTTGATCATTGGGCCTCAAAAAGTTCCAAAATATCTATTTTATTTCACTTATATTTTCCTTGTCCTTGATGGTCAAGACTATTCCTTGAAGTTATGCACACATCAACAGAATTCATTGCTTGTACTGTGGCTTACTGTGGAACTATGTCCCAAAATACATTAAATACTCTGACCTATTGCATAACCCTATATAGAGCATCTTGCTATCACAGGAGGTGAGCTGATCCTTTTACATGATGTCACAGAGCAAAGAAATCAAACTTCTGGTAAGAAATGTGGGTAAAATTTAGTCCCTTAGTAACTCTAAACAACTAATCTTAAATCACAATTTTAATTATTTACACTAAATGGTTATGTTCAGTTTATTTGCACTTTGTAAACTTTATCCATGAACTTGTGGGTCTGAGAATTCCTCCCTCTCCCATCTTTCATGACTCTTCTCTACAGCAGACTGAAGCAATAGTGTCTTGGATGATGCAGAAATTTGGAAGTCGCCCACTGCTTGTTCCAAATCTAACAGGGCAGAGGATGAGTCTCTATACATTGTTATATTTTTGTTTCACCTTGTGTAAACTCTATTCTGCCTTGAGTTGTTTTAGGATTAACCGGTTACTGTGCATGTAGTGCTTTGAAATGATAAAGGAGTTGCTTAAGAGCTAATCAGCTGCTGTGTGTTGAACTACTGTTTTCTTTAATTTAATTGAAGACTTAGATGCTCTTATTAACTGCAGACAATGAGCTCCCTGCTGCATGATGATAACAGATCCCGAAGGGCATAGATGATGTAAACTGGGATGGAGTTTTCAGACTTTAATGCAGCAGTTGAGCTGCAGGGCTGCATTTATGACGAGCTGGCAGAGATGGGCTTCCAGTCCATCTAGTCAGAAGAGTAATGAGAGCTGGCAGCCAGAGACAATGTGAAAACAGTGGAGCTGTGCAGCTGTATGCCATACCTCTCAACTTCTACTTACCACAAATAAAGATATGGTGCTGCTCAGAACTGAGCCCGCACTCCCTATCCAGTAGCATCATCCCAAATCCAGTTTGCTTAAGCAATACTGGGGCTGTCGACTCTGAACTCTCTGTCTCTAAGAGCAAACGTGACACAAAATGATATCTTTGCTCAACATTCAAACTCTCCCTTACCTCCACCCCCCAGAGCACATCGACTCTATCAGCCAGCATGAGCAGTTCATGGGGGCATGATGAAAACAAAGGGCTACTCTGTTGTCAAGCTGCTCCCCAGCAGAGGTACCCAGCAGCACTGGAAATGACTCTGTACAGTGTGACACAGGCGGAGCCTGCTCTGGCAGGGGCTGACACAATGTAATTTGTGACATCATCTGATGTTTCGATCTCTAAGGATATTGCCTTTCCACCAAGAAGTGGAAAAACCTTCTGCTAAAATCTGTACTGGTCTAACTGGTACAGTCTAGGAAAAAGGCTGATCATGGTGTTTATCAACTACGGTGGTACCAGTTGGTCAGGATATCACTGGTGACACCTACCCTGTGACCTACCCCATGATGGCGAGTGCCCCAGATTCCTTAATCTGGACTGGCCATCACAGGCTCACTGGCTAAGATCTTGCCATGCAGTAAGCAAAACTGAACACTTTTTTGCAGTTTTAGCAAAAGCAGTGCAAGCAAGCCTCTGGCAGGCACATCGTAAACATTCCCCTGTGCACGGGGCTGGGGGTAGAACCTCACCTCGCATTCCTTTGTGGCTTGATTCATCAAGTTCACAAGTGACGTGAAAGCTGCACTAAGACGTTCCGAATCTTCTTCCTGCAATTAAAGACAGCTTTTGGTAACTCGTGACGTGGCGCTGGTTGCTTAGAGGTAGAAAGTGTCAGGTGATTAAACAGCCAAATACTCGCTAGTGCAGGAGGCGGTCCCTGGGGTGAAACGGTCACTCGTGGCCACCGCTGCAACGCGGTGTGCCACACCGACCGGGGCCGGGAGCCGCCCCGCCGCCGCCCGCGGCACTGACCGGGCCCGGTGCCGGGAGCCGTGCCGCGGTACTGGCCGTGCCCGTTCCCGTGCCCGGGAGCCGTCCCCTCCGCACTGACCGTTCCCGTGCCCGGGAGCCGTCCCCTCCGCACTGACCGTTCCCGTGCCCGGGAGCCGTCCCCTCCGCACTGACCGTTCCCGTGCCCGGGAGCCGTCCCCTCCGCACTGACCGTTCCCGTGCCCGGGAGCCGTCCCCTCCGCACTGACCGTTCCCGTGCCCGGGAGCCGTCCCCTCCGCACTGACCGTTCCCGTGCCCGGGAGCCGTGCCTCCGGCCGCCGCCGCGCCCGCTCCAGCACCTCGCGCGCCAGCCCCGCCGTCCGCCCCGCGCGCGCTCCCGCCATCCCGCCAGCGCCCGCCCTCAGTGCGCACGCGCCGTCGCCCCGCCTCTCCCCCCTCCCTCCCCCCCACCCGTAGCCGCTAGGGGGCGCCACCGCCCTGTCAGTCCTGCACCGTCCCGCCCGGTGGCACCGGGGCTGATCCCGCCGGTCGCCCGGTCCCGCCGAGGAGTCAATGGTTTGGGTTTTTTCCCCTCACGCCACCACTCTGGGGCGCGCCCGTGTCCTGCCCTGCCCTGCCCTGAGGTAAAGCCGCCGCCCGGGACAGTCTTCTTTTGAGCTTCCCTCAGCGGTGCCGGCGCTGGTGGCGGCGGGTCCGTGAGGCGCCTGGGGGCTGCCCCGCCGCTGTCCCCGCCGGGCGGCAGTGGGGAAGAGCCCAGAGCGGCTGGAGGCTTCCGAGCCCCGGCTCGACTTCGCCGCGAGGTCTCTGTAGTGGACAGCGGTACTATGGGGGAGTTTTTTTGAAATTTATGAGGTACGAAATAGTAATTGCAGTATGTGGTGATGGTTGGCTGAGTGAAACAGGTATTGGTATGAGGGGAGAGCATCTGAGAGCTATCACTGTATCTGCTCTCCAAAAGAAAGCCCTTTTGCTTTGATTAGTAAAAAGAAAGCACAACATGTTTTAGCCTGCTGCCTGCAAGATTTGCCAAGCAAGCAGATCTGCTCCCTGGGAGCTGCCCTGGCCCAGGAGGGGTTCCCAGCCGGGCAGCGTGTGGGCGCGGGGCCTCCATCAGCCCCGCAGCGCCGGGCCGCAGCCCCCACACCCAGCCACCGAACAGGCTCAGAAAGCCACTGCAGCTACGTGTAAATTAGAGTGACTCTGGCTTTGCTAACCTTGTTTGCACTGCAGTGGCAGTAGGAAAGGCAAAATAAGCACAGAAACTTTCTTTAAGTGCAAGATGGCCAAGGTTAACAAGTAGGCCCTGATTTTTCAACTCCTTTGTTCTTGTTTGTGTAGCTTAGCTATCTGTAATCTCTTTGGCAAACAAGAAAAATAATATTCTCCTAGTTTACATTTTATTATCGTCTTCCAGTTGCTCAACCAGAGCAGCAGCCAGCTTCTGTAATAAACATATCCTTCACAGCCTGCTTGTTCATTAAAACTCATCGAAGGCCCCAATTCAGTGTCCCAATACAATTAACCTTAGGTTGGGTCTCTTGTACTCAAAGGAAAGTTTAGGCAGTTGATGGGGTGCTTGAGGTCTGGGGGACTGAATGCAGCATAAATGGGGAGAAAAATAATATTTGATAAAAGTAACGTCAGCATATTTGAGATGATTGTTTGTTGTGCTGGGGAAGCAGCCAGAGGAGACTGCTTCCTGCTTAATTGGAAGTTGAGCATCTTCCTTTGAGCATCATTCCTTGTTATCAGTCTCCTGGAGAGGCGGATGGGTTTGCTATCTTGCTGCACTTGTGAAATATGCTTGAAAAGGCCCTCCTATGTAGTTTTAATAATGGGGAAAGAAAATGGTATTCATTTTATATTCCTGCCAGGTACTTGTAGCAGTAGCTTGTTGTTCAGGAGGTAAATTATTCCTTGTGTGTTGAAATTTAAACTCCCACCATTTTTTGATGTTCGGTCACAGAGTACTCCTTTTGCAGCTGAGTAAATACATCTGTCCCAAGAAGGCTGACAGCTGAAATAGCTTTTGCTTTGAAACACACATCCGCATCAGAATCCAGATGAGAGTTACTCTTATTTCCTGTACATTCACTCTATTGAAATATAATGGAGGTTTGTGAAACGCTGGATATTTACACTATATTTCTTTGTTGTGTGGGGATGATGGACCAGAATATCTCAAGACAATATATCTTATTTTGTTGATGAGGTGGCAAAAGCCTATAGTTTATTCTGAGTACTCAGCTCTGCGTTCAGAGGAGTATCCTTGTGTAGGAAAGCTCATAAGCATTTGCCTGGTGCTGAACACCATTTCGGCTCCATTTCAGTCAATGGAAAGAAAGTAAGCATGTGCTTAAACTTCAAGAAATGTGTAATGCTGGCATTTGTATTTTCAGCTGTAGAATACACATGTCTCACTATTTTTCTTCTGTTCCAATTATCATTTGGTTAATATATTGTGAAGTGACTCGCTTTATAAATGCTTAGATAGCAGTTCAAGATTTTGCTGCAGTCTGTATTTTGCAGTGTTCAGGCTTCTGCTAACAGCTAGTATCTTGCCTCTTTTGCATGGTTTTTATATCAAAGTCTCGTGCGGGTTTCTCATCTCTTCACCCGGCAGAAGCACGTGGACAGGCGTGCCAGGGAGCTGGCCCTCTCGCTGCTGTTTGTGGCCCGCGTGGAGCGTGTGTGCCCGATGGCTTGTGCCACGCAGGGACCTTCCCCACCCCGCGGGACGTGGGCTGCCCTGCGCCCCGGCCTGCGGGGCACCCGCCTGGGGCCCCGCTCCCCAGCGCGCAGGGCGTTACACATCTGCCAGCAGCTGGTCCTAGTCGGCTGGGTTTGATCCGAGGTGCCCGGACCGAAGTTCAGAGGCATGCCGCTGCCTCCCTCTCCCTCCGCAGGTACTGTTCCCCCGAAGCTACCCCGGGAAGCGCGGGCGCTCCGCGGCCCCGGGGCTCGCCCATCCCCGGCGCCCTGATTGAAACCATCTGCTCGGCGCCCGGGCGCAGGAAGCGCGCCGCTGCTTTCCTCCTTCCTTCCTTTCTTCCCCGCAAGTGGCTCCGCGCGGAGAGGAGTCCAGCACTCATAGTTTTTTAAATAAAAAATAAGCCGTATCGCTCCTCCGGGGTAGAGGGAGGAGGACGATTGTCAGACGGAGGCCTCGGTTCTCCTCTCCTCCTCCTCTGCCCATCGCATCTCCCCGCGGAGCGGCCGGCCCCGGCGGGCTGCCCGCCTCCCTCCCGCCTGGCCAGGACCCGGGCTTGGGGCCGGGGGGGCCGCGGCGCCTACCCCTCCGCGGAGCCGGGGCCGAGCGCTGCCGGCAGGAGCGGTGGCTCGGCCGCCCGGGGCTGCTGCCCGGCCCGGGCCGCGCTGGGGGAGCAGGTTTCTTTGTTGGCTGCCGGGTGACTGGTTCCCATTAATCTCCCGCACTGGCCGTGGCCGTCTCCACTTCCTGCCTTTGCATACTTCTCTCTCCCTCGATCTCAGTCCCTTCCCTTCCCTCCCCCTTCCCTCCCCCCTTTCTTTCTCTCCCTCTTCCCAGCTTCTCCGAAAAAGCTACAACCGCCCGGGCTGCGGGAAGGGGGCTGCCGGCGGCCGGCGGAAGGAGCGCATCCCTGCGCGCCTCGGTAAGGGCCGGGGAGCCGCGCTGCCGGGTCGGTGGTCGCCTCTCGGGACCCGGACAGGGGAGCGGGGCCGGGGGGGGAGCGAAACGATTGATCGTGCTCCGGCTCGCCGTCCCCGAGCCCTGAGAGCCGCCCGCCTCCCGGGAGCGGGGCGGGCCGGGGATGCGCGGCGGCGGCGGCGGCGGCGGGAGCTCCGCGGGGCCGCCGATGGCCGGGCCGGTCCCGCGGTCCTTGCGGGGGTCCCTGCCCTGCCCGGGGGAGCGCAGATGGGCGCGGGATCACTGCGCATGGGCGGAGCGGGGAGTCGGTGCTCCCGCGCTGATGCGCCCCGTGCCACCGCCGTGCCTCGCAGGACGTTTCTTCTCGCGTGGGTGGCGAGGCCAGAGGCACCCCGGAGGGACAGAGCCCGGGAGACCCCCTCAGTGGGACCGGGTTAACTGCAGCCGGGCTGGCAGCCGGCCCGCCGAGTGTGGGGCTCTGATCCGGAGAGAGACGGGGGGGCTGTGGCACTTTTTTTCCCTTCCAGTGCCCACTCGCATCGCCTGTCCAGCCGGCTGTAATGTTTGCATGCATGTTGAAAAGAGTGGAGGAGCCACCTGGGCTCCAGCGGAAGACAAGGATCCCAAGACAGATTTAGCTGAAGAGCTGAGGGAGCTGCTTCAGCAGTTCAGTTGGTGGGAAAATCAGATGTACTGCTCTTGGCTTGGTACCAACTGTTTGCTTTACTAAGGAGCAGTGGGTCACCGCAATCAAAGAGCAGCGGCTACATATGAGAGAGCCTTCTTATGTTTACTTCACTTTTATCATTCAAATGTACTTTGAATTTTAGTGCTCAAGCTAAATGAAGCCGGATGCATAGAATTATTGCATAGCGTACGTCAATAGCAGGGTTTTCTACACCCATCGTTGTATTGTTGCACCAACTTTGGGGAACAGGTTTTCTTTCATTTTTATTCTGAGTGGTCAGTCTTTAACTTCAGTCAGATATGGAATAATCCAGTAAAAAACACCTAGTGTGATCAGAATTTGTGGAAGATAAAAGGATGAAACCGTTAGTTGTAGTCTGATTTCTGATGATGAAGAGTGGGTTGAATTGAAGTGAGGTTGATTTGCCTTTAAGACTTGATAATGTTTGGTTTATACATGATTAATATATAGCCAGTAGATGAAAATGTTCCATATATTGGAAGGGTAAGTTAACAGAGCAAAGGTAAGAGTATCTTGCATTTAAGGTGAGATTTGAGAAAATCTTGTATGTTTTAGGAACGTCAAAATTTAACTTTCATTTTGATGATTGGGTTATGCAGGTGACGTAGTGGAAATCTGTTACCAGGTTGACAGGTGAGAGTAAGATTTATTGTTTTGATCATTCATTTTCCTCTTGCTTTAAGATTAGCTATTTAAAGGAAAATTGCAACACATTTAAGCAATTATGACTACTTTATCAAGTTACCTAAGAATAGAGTTGAGCACCTTTTGAAGCTAGCTACAATCTATACACTGTTAAGAGTGACTAGACAGACGGGGAACTGCCATTTTGCTTCTGGGGTGGAACCAGTTTCCCCTGAAAGTACGGAAAAGTGAGGAGCAGGGGTGTTGGGGGGGTTGGTGCTGGGCCTCACTGGAGCACAGAGATTGTCCTGCTCCTGAAAGTATATAGCATGTGTTTTCCTCCCATAGACAGAAATAAGAGAGTCCTGCCTGTCCTGGCTTTCTTTTGCTCCCTTCAGGGTGCTAAACTCCCCCAGCCAGCTTGTTCAGTGCAGTCACTGCCCGTCCTGGCTCTGGGGAGGAGAGGCGCCTTCTTGTCCTCTCCTACCCCTACAGCGTGCTTGTGCTGTGGCTGCCAGAATTTGTGGCTGCTCCAAAGAGCTCAGGACCAGGCATTGCTGTTTCCCTTTAAGCAAGTGACTTTTAACATACAGTGTAGCTCTTTAAGAAGCGTGTGACCCCTTATTATTGGTGACCCTCTAAACCATTGTGTAATCTGCTGACTAATGTACCATGCCAATTTATTCTTGGTTGGGAAGTCTTGCCAAGGATTTGATGGAATAGCATGATTTTATCCATTTTATTGTTTTCATTGTGTTTCATAAACATCTAAGACCCTCTGGGAAGAATCACTGGGGCGGCTGGGCCTCCTTTTTTTAATTGCTGGTGAAATAAATGTTGCCAGTTTTAAAAAAATAAAGTGGTATGCAAGATCTCAGAATGCCTGGAACTGCTAAGCACTCGTGTTTAGGAAGCAGGACTATTTTTAGCGTAGGGGCATTTAAAGAAATGATACTAGCCCCTTGTGAAGAGGTCACTGTGAAAGTGCACTGAAGAGCCTGCTTTTAACAGGAGAACAAACCCAAGTTTCCCACAGTTGAGTAAAGCTAAAGAACTAGATTTGTACTTTTCCCATTCAAATGAAGAGAGAGAGGATGGACTTTTTGTTAGTTTACAGTAGTGGGAGTGAGGAGGCCCAAATTCTTATCATACAAAACAAATATAAAATCCTAGTCTTGTTGAGATCCTTGCCTTTCTGGTTCCCTCCAGTGAGTGTCTGCAATGGAGATGTAGGACTGAAAGGTATTTAACAGTTTCGGAGAAGGGTTGAGAACTGGCAGCTGAGAATACAGCGTTTCCATTGGGATCTGTTTTTGTGGGAGATCACAACTCTCTTGAATGGATCCCTGGCTGCCATCCTTATTCGTGGTTAAAAGAACTGGGGTAAAACCTATAAAAACAAACCAAAACAAAAAGGCGTGGGTGTTGAGAACTCAAGGTGATTTTGGATCCTAAATTAATTCTGAGTATGGGTCTGAGGTTGCTAAATAAATTACTTTGGATTCAGAGAAGACTTCCTTCAACTCATCTGCCCAGAAAATAGAAGTATTTGCTTTTGATGGCCTAAGAGAATGTGGTTTAGGTCAAAGTTACCACTATGTGCTAAATCCATCATGTTGTCTATGGGGTCTTGAGTAATCTGCATACGGTTAATGTAACCCAGTCTCTTGCAGGGCAAAGGACCAACATCTGGACTGATCAGACTTTCAGAATGTACCAAATGATAGCTGAGTTGAGTTTTGGTCTAAACTTCATTGATATCTTGTTTAACATAAGTTCAGTTTAGATTACATTTTTTTTTTTTTTTTTTTTCTTTTCCAATGCTGAGTGCCATGTGTGTTAGTTTTGTGTCTATGCTGTAAAGTGTGTGCAACTGTTGCTTTTCAGATTTTTTTAGTCTCCAGTTGGGATTTAGTTGGCAGTGCAGATAGAGGCAAGTTTGGGTAACTGAATCCAAATATTTACATTCTCAATTTGGCCTAGTCCTTGTGCTTGTAAACACTCACAGCCATATTGAACTTTGGTGAGGTTGTAAGTGGCTTTGCCAAGGCTTGGAGAGTCACACCCTACAAGACCTGAAATTCCCCCTTTTGGGAAGAGTTTTGGATATGTTTTTTGAGTGTATGTACATCAGCTGAGAGTTAGTACTCATCACTTACCCATAATCTGACTGCAAAATCTTTTCCTGTATCTTGCTTCTTTTTCATGTAGAAATGCCTTATGCTGTTGGGATGTGTCAAGTTAAATGTCATGGAAAAGAAGTCCTGCCCACCTACGAGGTGCTGTGAGGACTCTGGAAATCCTGGTCTCCTGTGCTGCTCTAGAGCTCAGCCCTTGTGGAGAGGGGCTGTGGTGGAGATCCTCCTCTCTCCGTAGTTACCATTTTCCTGGTCCTTGCTGTTTAGGTGTCCAGAAATAAACTTTGAGGACTGATTTGAACAACGGGGATGCTTGCTCGTAGAGTTTCAGATTTAAGTTCTCTTTTCATTCATATAGGCTTTGAGCAGCTGTCAGATTTTGTTAGAAACTTTTTATTCAGTAGGGACTGAGCCTGAAAGATTTATTCTGCATTAGCAATTGAACATTCTGAAGTCTACTTTACTACAAACTGTAGGGATAGGGATGAACTAGTACATTAACACTTCATGGCCAAACCACCCTTGTGTTTGAGTATGCTTCTATTTGGGTCTGTTGCTGTTACCCAGAGTTTGAAATTGGATATGATAGTTTAGTTGCAGAGAGCTGGAAACTATAGATAGAGGTGATTGAGTTTCAATGAATTTCCATAAGAGTTCCTACTCATAAATTGATGTCTGTAACTTTGTATTCTTAGCCAACGTAGTCTGGAAGAAGACTGAATTAGCTTAATCCACAGTGACCGTGTTTAGAGTAACCTAACTTGTTCTCTATCTGGAGCATGTACCTAGATAGTTAAAACTGTTCAG